ACAGCGAAAACAGAGCATTTAATTACATTTTCTCTTACTGGACCTCTTTCAAATGCAACTGAATACCCCTGCATTATAGCAACAATAATAATAATAATAATAATAACAGCAATAATAATTGGGAGGGGGGGCGCGGCTGTTCTTATGTTCTCTGAGGGGAGGCTCACCTACCCACACTTTGAAAACCCCTGATATAGACGGTTCGGCCACACGAGGCCGACAGGGAAACGTAGAAACGATAACGGGTCCCAAGGTGGATAGACCTGCGGACGCAACGCTCTGGGGGCCAAACAACTCTGTGATTACGCCCTATACCATCATTTCCTGATAACGAAAATACTGACGGGCTGTCAGGAGAGGGGAAGGAAAAGAGAGGCTCCGTGTATTATTATTATTATTATTATATAGAGTCGTTATTCATTTGTTTCAAAGCTCAATAAATAACAAAGAAGACCTTTGACCGGAAGATTTAAACTTTAACGGACATGTTGACCGGCGGAAAAAAATTATAGCGGAAACTCTGTGCCGCACGGTTCCCTCGTCCCTTGGAAGAGGCGGAGAGGTGGGTGTTTTTCATCTGCTGGTGGACTACCGGAGAGATTTATTGCAGGAGCACACGCTTGCCTAGGGGAGGGAGAAAAAGAGCCAGAGCCCTGGCCCCTGCCTCTCCCCACCTCTGCTGCTAAATCCACCGCGGAGAATAAACAGAAGTGCAACCATGTTTTGCTCGTTGTCCTATGCTTGCTCCCCCCCTGTGTTGTCCTTTGCCTGTTCATGTAATGTTCATGTTCAATTTTCTTGTCCAATATGTTGTCTTCTGCCTGTTCACCCCCTTTCTGTACTTTTAATTGTTTTTGTAAGCGACTTTGGGTTATTGAAAAGCGCTATATAAATAAAAGTTATTATTATTATTATTATGTGTGCTCGTGAAGTCTTCTTCGCTGCTTTTGGTGCATTGACATGTTTCTGGTGCCGATTGCGTGTGGACGGAAGACTTTTTTGATATCGAATTTGGTTAGTTTTCGTTACCGTCTCCATGTGGCTAGGGCCGTAATCTAAATGTACTTTATTAATCTCAACCAATACATATAATTTCCATAACCATAGGATTTTGCCTCAAGATAGGACACATTCCTTTTTTTGACCTTTGTTATGGCAGCTTGGAAGGAAGGGAAGGGGATAGAGGGAGGAATGAGGATGAAGTAAACATTTCTGTGAGGAGGAAACGGTGATACACAAGTCAAACCAAGGTGAAACAACTTCTGACAGGCGATTGTTAAAGTGATGCTCTTGTTTCTGTTTCAAATGTTCTTTGAGTATCAAAATCCAACACTGCTCTGTGAGGGACCAAGGTACACATTTTAAGGTTTGAGGTGGGGTGCCACTGTATCACATAACATGGGCTTATCTGACCGATTATGTTTCTTAAAGCTACATTTGTTCACAACTAGGGATGCTCCGTTCGATCGGCCGCTAAAAATGCTGATTGCGAGAACCGATCGCATGACGTAAAATACATTACACTTATCTCTGCGCGACAAAACAAGCTCGCCAAAATGGCTTCACCGGTCTGGCAGTATTTTAAGGTGTCCGAAAATAGAGAGAGAGAGAGAGAGACACTCCCCCCCCGCTCATTTCTCCCGTGTTATTATCCAAAGTTAATGTAAACTTGAATAATGTACTTTATTTGAATGTAATAATTATGTTGTTTTTGGAAGCGCCAGTGAATGAGCCCCATTAACTGAGTTTTAAACATCACTTTAAATGGAAGATCCCCATAGGCCCCGCCCACTCGATCGGATCGGCGATCCGGCGATCGGCCCCAAAATTGGCGATCGGAGCATCCCTATTCACAACACATCATGTCTGGGGAAATGTTGACTTCCTTGCTCTGTTATTTCTAAAATATCCCCTTGTCCATTTGCCCCTGTATTGTCTTCTTTCAATATTCAGTGTGTAGGAAAACCTCAACTATCCTTAGATGTGGGATATTACTCCAAGGTGGGCGGGGTCACTTTTGTCCCTTCTGTTTATCTCCAAGTTATTCACTGCACTCTGCACTGTTAAGATGGCATAGCCCTGAGGGACAAGTGTGAAGAAAATGCATGTCCACGTACACCTAGTTGGATTTGTTTTGGTAATGGCATCAGTGCATTTGTGGTTATCTTACTGAACCACAGAACTATTTGACTGTACCCACAGCATCCCCACAGTTCCTCTGATTAGCTGCAAAACCCACTATAATAAGCTCACTGATTTTTGATTTCAGTTGAATACATCGTACCACTCTATTCCTCACTTTTAACCTCCCCCTGTCCTTCTAGCCTTTTTGTCCTTCTGCAACTATTATAGTATAAGAATAAATCTCATAAAACAATTCAAATAAAAAAAGTTTCCTCGCATCTCATTAAAGATGCAGCATTTCATTATTATAAGAGTATGAGAAAATATACAGGACTGTCTCAGAAAATTAGAATATTGTGATAAAGTTCTTTATTTTCTGTAATGCAATTTAAAAAAAAAATTAAAAAAAATAAAAAATGTCATACATTCTGGATTCATTACAAATCAACTGAAATATTGCAAGCCTTTTATTATTTTAATATTGCTGATTATGGCATACAGCTTAAGAAAACTCAAATATCCTATCTCTAAATATTAGAATATCATGAAAAAGTATACTAGTAGGGTGTTCAACGAATCACTTGAATCGTCTAATTAACTCGAAACACCTGCAAGGGTTTCCTGAGCCTTGAAAAACACTCAGCTTGGTTCAGTAAACTAAATCACAAGTATGGGGAAGACTGCTGATCTGACTGCTGTCCAGAGGACCGTCATTGACACCCTCCATCAGGAGGGTAAGACACAAAAAGAAATTTCTCAAAGAGCAAGCTGTTCACAGAGTGCAGTTTCAAAGCACATCCACAAAAAAGTCTGTTGGAAGGGGGAAATGTGGCAGGAAACGCTGCACAACCAAGAGAGATGACCGCAGCCTTAACAGCATTGTGAAGAAGAGTCGCTTCCAGAATTTGGGGGAGCTTCAAAGACAGTGGACTGAAGCTGGAGTCCAGGTATCAAAAGTCACTGTTCACAGACGTGTCCGGGAAATGGGCTACAATAGCCGTATTCCCATGGTCAAGCCACTTCTGAACTCAAGACAACGGAAGAGGCGTCTGC